CGCTAGTGCCACTGTAGAGATTTGATCCCTCGGACGAACCGGTCAAAAAGTTTGCAATGGCAGCACTTGTTGCCCTGAGTCACGACATCTAGACAGAGCCTCGACTCTCTATAAGGTCGGGTGACGGCAAGGCTTTGAAGAGCGGTGGAGTTAAATAATTACGTGTCAAAGCGCAATCAACACGTATGACTACTTTTTGCTTCTGTTACGCAGCATAACTACTTTGTGAAACACTATCATGGAAGAGATCAGGTTATTCACCTGGAACTTTATGGATGCGGCAATCATCTTGTACGATGGTCTTTATACTGTGAAAATTTGGTAATCCTTTAAATTTATACACTGAAGAGCCAAAAAACTGGTACAACCATGCCTAATGAAATAAAGAGATCTGGAACTAATCAGAACACGGCGCTCCGGTCAGCAACGACTAAATAAGGCAACCAGAGTCTGGCAGATTATCACGATTTAAGTAAGTTTGAGCGTGTTGTAGTCAGTGCAAGAGAGATGATGCTAGCATCTCCGAGGTCGCGATGGAATTTTTATTTTCTTGTATTTGACGAGTGTACTGTGAATATCGAGAATTCGGTAAAACATCAAATTTCCGGTCACAAAATAATGATGCAAGAACGGGACCGACGACGGCTGAGGAGAATCATAACACGGGACAGAAGTGCAACCCTTACGCACATTTCTTGCAGATTTCAATGCTGGGCCATCGACAAGTGTCTGCGTGAGAACCATTCAACGAGACATTATAAGTATGTGGTTTTGGACCCATATCGATAATGCATGGTCCTTGATGACTGCGTGACACAAAGCTTTACGCCTCGCCTGGGCCCGTCAACATCAACAATGTCCTGTTGATGACTGGAAACACGTTACCTGGTCTGACGAGTCTCGTTCCACATTGTTTTGAGCGGATGGATTTGTACGAATATGGCGACGAACTTATGAATCCATGGACCCTGCATATCAACAGGGGATTGTTCAAGCTGGTGGTATGGGATGTGTGAAGTTGTAGTGATATGGGATCCCTGATACATCTAGATACGACTCCGACAGGTGAAACGTACGTAATAATTCTGTCTGGTCACCTGCACTCATTCATGGTCATTGTGCATCCCATCGGACTTGGGCTATTCCAGCAGGACAATACGACACCCCATACGTCGAGAATTGCTGTAGAGTGGCCCAGGAACACTCGTCTGAATTTAAACGCTTCCACTAGCCACCAAAATCTCCGGACATGAACATTATTGAGAATATCTGGGATGCCTTGCAATGTGCTGTTCAGAAGAAAACTCCCCCCTCGTACTCTAACGAGTTTATAACAGCCTTACAAGATTTATGGTGTCAATTACCTACAGCTCTATTTCAGACATTAATGGAGTCAATGCCACGGCATATTGAGGCATTTGTACGTGCCCATGGGGGCCCTACACGATATTAGGCAGGTGTACCAGATTTTGGCTCTCCACGGTATGATTGTATTTGGAATAAACCCTTGTAAATTGGACTTTGTTATTGCGTTGTACGATATGACTCATACTGAGGTACACTAGTGTAATATATAGATACATCGCTATGAAAAAAATGTTCTTTAAACATCATCATACATTTCATGATTTCTTGGTTCAATGCACTGCAACCCGCTTGACGCAGTAGACTAACAAGCTCTAGAATGAATGCCGATCAAACCTTCAAATTTACATAACACAATACGTTTTAGTTAGTTCTTAACACGGTGCTTTAATTCATCCTGGAAGATATCGCTTTATTGATATTCGGTTGCTTCCTGGCTCCTTGAGGAAGTTGTTTTCCCAACAGGTTCAATAAAAATGTTGTCATTATTTTGTTGAGAGACGTATAGTTTGTGAACCTGTTGTCGGAAAGAGTGAAAAATGAATTCATCATGAAATAATCTTGTACTAAACCTGTTCTGCACTGAAACGACTCTGAATTATGAAAAACTCAAAGTTTCAATGAATTGCCGGCTCAAATGATGACTATATCATTGTGTTGAATGTTTAGGTCATTGCACAATATTCCCTCAAATCTTACTCTGCAGGCACTTCCACGTGCGTGAGATCTCAACTTACAGTGTCTCAGAAATTTTCTTTTATCTCTCGCAATTTTTATTTATCCCATTCCAGAATGCCTCTTTTCTATCTAATTGAGGTCACGGTGATAGGCTAAGTACAGATACCTAGTCTTGTGTATCTATAGGACTTTCACTATACTTGGCCTCTCACACCCTTTTCTATGTCATTACCAGCCATGTGAAACCAGGACGTACTACATAATTATTTCGACATTTTGGAGCAAAATTCTTGGAGAAATAGAGAAGCCGAAACATTTCAAAAAGTAGCATCTTTGGTGTGGGAAATCTTTTACCGTCGAACTTGGAATCTCTTGATGAAGGTAACGTCAATGGCGCTCTCATGAAAGTATAAACGTTAGTACTCGTTTCAAGAATCACACACACAAGAATCAAACTTTTAAATTTGTCTTTGTATAACTTATACTTCCCACTATCATTATAAACTGCTTCACAGTTCATCATTTTAAAAGAAAAAAATGTGTAACCTCATGTAGTAAATTACACTGCACAATTCGAAGAAAAAAAATAATTTCTTTTTATTTATTTAATAGGTAATTAGTTATTTTAGTTAATAGGTTAGTTAGTTATTTATTTAATAGGTAAAGATTACTTGATCCTATGTGGCTAGGCCGAAGGCCTTTAAGCCATTACAATACCTACATCCTTTCGGCTAACGGACTCAAGGACTCGACTAAAGGACGCAAGTGGTAATGGCATCTGTGTGCTTTGCGGTGATAGGGAAGACTGGATTCACATCCTCTTAATTTGCTGTGCAACCGAAACATGGAGAAAAAAATGGATGGGAATGGGAAATTACTACCTCCTAAACAGGAACGTAACGCTCGCCCAAAACATTTTAGGTAACAAAAGATCTAAATTTATGAAAGAATTTGGAACATTTTTAGGAAAGGTCCAGACCATTAGGGAAACTGAAATTAGGGAGTGGGAAAACAGCACTGGTTAGCTTGAGCGGAGCCTAGACTGGAGAGAAATAAATAAGTCAATAAGCTAACAATATGTAAGTTAATCAGTGATTTTATGTTAAGTAAGTAAACAGTTAAGAAACAAGTCATAAGTCATAGTTAATTGGTAAGTAAAATGTTAATATAATAAATAAAATAAAACTGGCATAGTAATAAGCACATTAGGGGGTGAAGGGAAGGGGGGGATCGAAAATGTAAGGGCAGAGGCGTTGGTGCGGACGATCTTCTGTGGCGCCGTTTGATTTCAGGTGCTGAGGAGGCCAAGCACTGGAAGGAGACGGCGGGACGCCCGAGCCAGAAAATCAAATAGCTAAAATAAACGTCGGATAGATTAGAATGTACTCGGCTTCTGACGGCAGGTTTTTCCCCCTTCAGGGGTTTTTTCCTGAGCCGTACCTTGTGGTCTCTTTTCCGCGGCTTAGATGCGATGGAGAGACCATTTGGGGTGAATACCAGAATTCGAAAGATTAGAACGCGAAAGGATGTAGGTATTGTAGTGGCTTAAAGGCCTTCGGCCTAGCCACATAGGATCAAGTAATCTAATTCGTTTGCAATAATTACCTATTAAATAAATAAAAAAATAATATTTAACGCAAAAAAATAATTAATAAGTCAGTACCAATACACTGTTTACTATAATAAAAATCTATTAACGAATCACAGTGAATTAAATGTATGGTGTAAAAATTCACAAATGCAATGTTAAAATAGTACCGTAGGAAAAAATCATGAACCTGACGTTGCGTTCACGCAACGTGGGGAAGAAATGGGTTAAGGGCCTCCTTCCCCCTTGAGATCAATTCTCACTCACAGTGAAATTTGGTTTACAATGTTTACCATATTTAGAGGAACAACGCTGTCAATTTTCAATTCTTCTTAGGCAACATTTATATAATTTTTAATTTAATTAATTTAATTTAATTTTTAACTTTCAACTTATATTACCCGATTTATCTTTTGTTCCCGTTTTTTTCGGTTATTTCTCCACCCCGGTTTTTACAGTTTTTTAAAATCAAAATCCAGTGGATGGCTTTTTTTATCAATGTGGTTAAATACGTGACACTGCCTGTTTCCTGTAGTTTAGTTTTCGGGTTTCGTCGTAGCGACTTCTACAATATGTTGATGGTGTTTGTAGCATGATCATCTAATCAATAACTACATTACACAAAGCGTAGTGTACAAAAAATACGCTGCGTTGGGTTGATTGGCATTGCTGTCGAAAATGTTTCAAGTTGATTTCCTATTTGTCTTAAATGTCTCAAGTGGAAGTGATTGTTCTATTTAGTTTCTTTTAACAACGTGATACTCATATTTTTCCTGTTTAAGTAGTGGGTAAAATTGTATATTCATAAGTGTAGCCATTGCTGCTGTAAGGATGTACATAGTAATTGTTGTGCACAGACGCTTCTTTTACCTCCGCCTCCTGTGCGTGAGACGCTCTCGCAAGATAAACCTTCTTAGCCTCTAGGAAACGTTTCTTTCAGGCATTCCCTTGTTACTTATTCGAATAAGTAGTGTGTACAGTCGGAAAATTAAATGTATAAAAAACGTATGCAGTGGTGCGGAAAATTGACTTCCAGATTTTAACATATATACACGTTTTGGAATTGTAGTTTATTACCGTGTATAAACGTTTTCTGTAACGGAACGTTCAAACACCGAACACAGTAAAAGAAGAGAAAAAAAGTTATCAGAGCCACATTTATGCCCCACAAGACTAATGAAATTTTAATGTGTGTGTTATTGTTATTACGTATAAATAAATATATTAAGAGAAATATTATAAACTGCAAAGGATGTTATAAATATATTGTTTGGGTGTCGGGCACATTAATTAATAAAATCTTAACTGGAATCTATACTAAATGGAAAGATTTCTAAATACCGTTGACAATTAATGTATTATGACAAAGTTATACCTAAAATATAAAATATTCCGTCTAAATAGAATCCTCAATTCGAATAATGACCCATTGTAGTTCCGCTAGGAGTATATATGTGTTTTTTATCTTCCATGTTTGTTGGGTCACAGGATGCATCGGGATCTACTGACCCCATATATAAGGAGCTCATCAGTATGTTAGTGTCTGAATTATGATTCTACTATATACACAAAATGGGTTTTGGAAAACTTCATTTTGGCTGAATAAAGTTATTGAAAAGGAAAAGAAACTTAAAAATAAACTGCGCGGTCTCACGTAGTGGCGATCATTATGAACGGGTGCCTAAAGTGCTTTGGTTTAAAACGGCGTGGGTTCGAGCTCTACTTTATGCACGCATTTTTGTGCTGGATAACTTACGTTCCATAAATAATCTTTAAATAAATTTTATCCTCTACTGCTCACAACTCTGGTTGTACAAACGGATACAGCTCGAATTGAATACGAGGTGAAACGATCACCATTTATAATTGAAAAAAGTTATAACATCTTGTCTCTTAACATTCTGTCACGCCCACCATTGAGACATAATTAACAAGAAATAGCATTCCTAGATTGTCGTCAATGCCAACTTTACTAGGAAATTTGAATGGGTTTGTGCCCTGGGAACAGACCCATTGGACCGGCAAATAAGTCACTCTGAAAGGTAGGAGGCTATCAAACAAGAATTAGGAATAAAATGTGCTTCTCGTTTGCAATCTCAGCCGCGTCGCATTGAGAGTTGATGAGCCAATGTGCTGCGAACATTTCCCAAGTTCATCATGATTGCCTTCTTTACATTTTGAAGTTGCCCGATGAAGATCATGAAATATTGAAAACGTCAGAATAAACGTAATGGTCTTAATGGTAAAAGAATTATTTTAAATTATTTCAAGTATACTACTTAAAATGGAGAAAAGAAATATTCAAGTAAGTTCGTATTAAATACGGAAGTTGAAGGTACATTTCGTCTTTAGAAATTAAAATAATTAATTTCCAAACAAACAATCTTTTGATAAAAAAACTCGTAACGAGAAAGAATGAACATTTAAAAATCAAAATCAAATATGTATGAGTTAAAGAAGAGGAAAAGTTTTCTAAGACACCATTGTAAATTGACCAATACAAAACGAGATATCGTTAAGTAGTTCTTGCTGAAAAGAAAAATAAACAGATACAACTAGTATGTAACAACATAAGAGAACAAAAATCTTTAACTTAAGCAGGTTTTTGTCTCTCGTGTGAAATTGAGGGAAAAGTAACCCGTGGCAATTGTAATAAAATGCGACGCAGGCACGTGACCAGTAGTGCAAAGAGAAGGGCGTGTACTCACTCGGCCTCGTCTTCCAGCACGAGCTCCTCGAAGTCGATGACGAGGCGGTAGCCGGGCGGCGCCGTGACCAGCGTGGCGCACTCCACGTTGTCCGGGTAGCGGTGCGGGAAGCCAGGGCTGACGACGGTGGTGCGCGGCACGTCGCGGCTCAGCGTCAGCGACCGGTTGCAGTCGGCGGGGCCCGCCTCCTCCGCCGCCTCTGCGCCGCCAGCGCCCGCGCTCACGCCGCGCCCCTCGCCCCTCGCGCCGCCCGCCCCACTCACTCCTCCCCGCGCAGCATCACCCCTCGCCTGGCGCATTCCCTCCCCAGCCCTCGCCTTTCTCACCCTCTCCGCTCATAAGCTCCTCCCCCTACACACTCGCATTGCCTCTTCACTCTCTATCACCACACCTTCACCCGCCCTGGCTCATTCCCCTCCCCAGCCCTCTCCTTTTCTCCACCCTCTCCGCTCCTAGCTCCTACCCCTCCAACCATCTCCAGGCATTGCCTCACTTCCTCTTCACACACCTTCACCCCCTCGCCTGGCGCATTCCCTCCCCAGCCCTCGCCTTTTCTCACCCTCTCCGCTCTAGCCTCCTCCCCCTCACATCTCGGCATTGCCTCCACTCCTCTTCACACACCTTCACCCTCGCCTGGCGCATTCCACTCCCCAGCCCTCGCCTTTCTCACCCTCTCCGCCTCTAGCTTCCTTCTCCCCTCCACATTTCGGCATTGCCTCTCCACTCCTCTTCACACACCTTCACCCTCGCCTGGCGCATTCCTCCCCAGCCCTCGCCTTTCTCACCCTCTCCGCTCTAGCTCCTCCCCCTACACATCTCGGCATGCCTCACTCCTCTTCTCACACACCTTCACCCCTCGCCTGCGCATTCCCTCCCCAGCCCTCGCCTTTCTCACCCTCTCCCGTCTAGCTCCTCCCCTCACATCTCGGCATTGCCTCTCACTCCTCTTCACACACCTTCACCCCTCGCCTGGCGCATTCCCTCCCCAGCCCTCGCCTTCTCACCCCTCTCCGCTCCTAGCCTCCTCCCCCTCCACATCTCGCATTGCCTCTCACTCCTCTTCACACACCTTCACCCTCGCCTGGCGCATTCCCTCCCCAGCCTCGCCTTTCTCACCCTCTCCGCTCCTAGCTCCTCCCCTCCACATCTCGGCATTGCCTCTCACTCCTCTTCACACACCTTCACCCCTCGCCTGGCTCATTCCTCCCCAGCCTCGCCTTCTCACCCTCTCCGCTCCTAGCTCCTCCCCCTCCACATCTCCGCATTGCCTCTCACTCCTCTTCACACACCTTCACCCTCGCCTGGCGCATTCCCTCCCCCCTCGCCTTTCTCACCCTCTCCGCTCCTAGCTCCTCCCCCTCCACATCTCGGCATTGCCTCTCACTCCTCTTCACACACCTTCACCCTCTCGCCTGGCGCCATTCCTCCCCAGCCCTCGCCCTTCTCACCCTCTCCGCTCCTACTCCCCCCCTCCACATCTCGCATTGCCTCTCACTCCTCTTCACACACCTTCACCCCTCGCCTGGCGCATTCCCTCCCCAGCGCCTCGCCTTCCTCACCCTCTCCGCTCCTAGCTCCTCCCCTCCACATCTCGGCATTGCCTCTCACTCCTCTTCACACACCTTCACCCCTCGCCTGGCGCTTCCCTCCCCAGCCTCGCCTTTCTCACCCTCTCCGCTCCTAGCTCCTCCCCCTCCACATCTCGGCATTGCCTCTCACTCCTCTTCACACACCTTCACCCCTCGCCTGGCCCATTCCCTCCCCAGCCCTCGCCTTTCTCACCCTCTCCGCTCCTAGCTCCTCCCCCTCCACATCTCGCATTGCTCTCACTCCTCTTCACACACCTTCACCCCTCGCCTGGCCATTCCCTCCCCAGCCCTCGCCTTTCTCCACCCTCTCCGCTCCTAGCTCCCATCCCTCCACATCTCGGCATTGCCTCTCACTCCTCTTCACACACCTTCACCCTCGCCTGGGCGCATTCCCTCCCCAGCCCTCGCCTTTCTCACCCTCTCCGCTCCTAGCTCTCCCCCTCCACATCTCGGCATTGCCTCTCACTCCTCTTCACACCACCCTTCACCCTCGCCTGGCTCATTCCCTCCCCAGCCCTCGCCTTCTCACCCTCTCCGCCTAGCTCCCCCCCTCACATCTCCTGGCATTTGCCTCTCACTCCTCTTCACACACCTTCACCCCTCTCCTGGCGCGATTCCTCCCACCCTCGCCTTTCTCACCCTCTCTCGCTCCTAGCTCCTCCCCTCCACATCTCGGCATTGCCTCTCACTCCTCTTCACACACTTCACCCTGCCTGGCCATTCCCTCCCCAGCCCTCGCCTTTCTCACCCTCTGCCGCTCCTAGCTCTCCCTCCCACATCTCGGCATTGCCTCTCACTCCTCTCTCACCACACCTTTACCCCTCGCCCTGCGCTAATTCCCTCCCCATGCCCTCGCCTTCTCACCCCTCTCCGCTCCTAGCTCCTCCCCCTCCACATCTCGGCATTTGCCTCTCACTCCTCTTCACACACCTTCACCCCTCGCCTGGCGCATTCCCTCCCCAGCCCTCGCCTTTCTCACCCTCTCCGCTCCTAGCTCCTCCCCCTCCACATCTCGCATTGCCTCTCACTCCTCTCACACACCTTCACCCTCGCCTGGCTCATTCCCTCCCCAGCCCTCGCCTTTCTCACCCTCTCCGCTCCTAGCTCCTCCCCCCCACATCTCGGCATTGCCTCTCACTCCTCTTCACACACCTTCACCCTTCCGCCTGGCGCATTCCCTCCTCAGCCCCGCCTTTCTACACCATCTCCGCTCTAGCTCCTCCCCCTCCACATCTCGGCAATTGCCTCTCACTCCTCTTCACACACCTTCACCCTCGCCTGGCCATTCCCTCCCCAGCCTCGCCTTTCTCACCCTCTCCGCTCCTAGCTCCTCCCCTCCACATCTCGCATTGCCTCTCACTCTCTCTTCCACACACCTTTACCCTCGCGCCTGGCTCATTTCCCTCCCAAGCCCTCGCCTTTCTCACCCTCTCCGCTCCTAGCTCCTCCCTACCACAGCTCGCATTGCTCTCACTCCTCTTCACACAGCCTTCACCCCTCGCTGGCGCATCCCTCCCCAGCCCTCGCCCATTTTCTAACCACTCTCCGCTAACCTTAACGCTCCTCCCCCTCACACATATCGGATTGACTCTCTCACTCCTCTCAGCACAACCTCAACCCTCGCCTGCTTATTCCCTCCCAGCCCTCTCCTTCGTCACCCTCTCCGCTCTAGCTCCTCCCCCTCCACTATCTCGTGCATTGCCTCTCACTCTCTCACAACCTTCACCTTCCCTGGCCGCAATTCCCTCCTCAGCCTCGCCTTTCTTACCCTCTCGCTGTCCTAGCTATCACCCTCCACACTCGCGCATTGCCTCTCACTCGCGCTTCCAGCAGGCACCTTCACCCTTCGCCTGGCCATCTCCGATCCAGCCTCGCCGATTTCTTCACCCAGCTACCGCTCATAGCTATCCCCCGTCACACCATTAGCGGCAGTGCCCTCTCACATCCTCATACGAGCACTTGACCCTATCGCAGCTCAGTCTCCTCCCAGCCCTCGCCTTTCTCACCCTCTCCGCTCCTAGCTCCTCCCCCTACACATCTCGGCATTGCCACACATTCCTCTTCACACAGCTTCAGCCTTTGCCTTGCGCATTACCTCCGCAGCTCCACTCATCGTCAGTCCTCGCCTTCTTATTTCTCTACTGCCCTCCTCCCTTCACCCTCACCCTCACCTCTCTTTACACCTCCACCCCTCGCCACCCCTAATCTATCCTCCGCTTCTCTCACCTTCGCTCCACGGCTTAACCATTCACTCCCCCGTTGCACGCACCTGCCCCAACTACAGCTCAAGCCTATTTAACCCTTCCAACGTCACATCTCTCTTCCGCACCCCCTCCTTCGCTCCTCCCAACTTCACCATTACTTCCACCAAGTTTCCACCTCTACCTCCCCTCTCCTTACTCTGCTCCTCCTCTCCAACCACCTTCCAACTCCCAGCTACTTACACCGTCACCCCTCTAACTTCACACCTCGCCTTTCTCATTATCTCTTCTGTTAATCCACGCACTGTTCCATGCACCTCCACCTAGCCACATCAGACCTCCTCCTCGTCTTCACAAAACTTTGGGTATAGAAAAGAGTATAAGAGAGGAGTGAGATTGCACATGGTGAAACTGAACCCCCGCTGCAAGAATAACTTGAAAAGCTACTAAGTTACCATTAAGCGTTACATGCTCTGAAAGCGTTTTGACCAACACTTTCCTTCCATCAATACGCCACGTAGTTAGGGAGGATGAGGGGCCAAAGGGGAAGCAGCGCTCACCTCCGACGCGTGGGCGCTCGCACACGAAGAAGTTGCGCGCCTGGCAGTGCATGTCGTTCCACATGAAGGAGTGGGCGAGGCGCACGCCGGCGGACGGCAGCGCGAACACGCGGCGCAGCTCCACGCAGTCCAGCTGGCTCGTGCCGTCGTCGTTGGGCTGCTGCGCGAAGTGCTTGTGCTGCTCCCAGCCCGGGAACCAGTCTGCGCACACGCGCCCCCCGCGCCCCCGCACTCAGCACGCGCGCACCCGCTCCAACGGCCTTGTGTTCAGACCACGACCACCAAGCTACTACAGCTAGTAATAATAATAATAACAACAACGACTGTAATAAAAATATTCTTGTAATTTATTAGAATTACTGTATCTCAGAATAAAAGTGACACATTTATATGGCATGCAGGATTGCGGAATTCATTGATCACTTTTGCCTGCAAACATGTGATGAGAAATAACGAAGTTACAAGATATTTGCATTGGACTGGTGTTTGACGGGCACATTTTCCCTAGGAATGAAAAAGTATCATTATATCAGATTTTCCACTCTACTTTCTTGCCAAAAAATGAACTTTTACCACCTACATACCCTACACGTTTGTAACACTTCTTCTGAGATACCTAAATAGATATTAATAACTAAGTTACAAGTACCCTAAGCAACGCCATCTCCATTTACTTACATAAAACGGCAAACTCTTTCAATTTGTTCACTAGTAAACTAAGGTAAATGTCACTTGAGGTATTTAATACGCTTATTCAATGTCGGAAATGTTTTCAGAAGGGTTTACAACCTATCACACGTGTAGCATCGATTTGGCACCCGCAAAATTCCGGGAATGTATATCGTAAACTTCGGAACTACAGGCTGGCATGCTGCCGGACGCTCCACTACGCCCGAATCAGCCATGCCTCTCTGAACGTTACCAACAGTTAATTTAACGTTTCGTTTGTTAATTGACGTTCCCGGTCACTTCAATGGCTATAGCCATTCGTCCTGGTGGTGTGAATATTCTATCCCGGAAGGAGGTGCTGTTGTTCCACCTCTGGATGCTGACGTCCGGCGCCTACATATACGTCGGCTAGCGAGGGATCCAGGTATCTCCCCCAGAGGGACAAGCTCCAAGCTCTGACTAATCTCCCGCCATGTGTGGTAGTGTAGGGCATTTACATGTAAAGCAAAGCGCGTACTGGATCTGTAGAACACGAATGAACAGCAAGGAAGAATTTTTGAAAAAGTTGATTACATAGTTTTCTGTAACGTGCGCGCGCACTACCCGTCACGGTCGAGACGGGTCAATTCACAGCTTCCGCAGTTGGAAAAAGTCGGAAGGAAAGACCGTCCCTTTGGGTCCTACCAGCAGCTTCTCGCCCTTCCCTGACTTCCGTGCACTTCCAGTGTAACCAACTCTCCCGATGGCCGCTGCAAGGTCCCTCTTCCGGAGAACAATCCTCGGCGAGACTGGGCTACGACTGGTGCCGATGTAAGTAACACCTCCTCAATTAACTCCCTTAACTAGGAGAACGGGCGGAGAGCACCTTCAGTCCTTCCACTCCCCCGCACGGGGTGCCAGATCTTTGCTCCACGACATTTGTGTCATTACCACGCAGCGTGCCGTCCATACCGATTACGTCATCGGCTTGTCCGCGCACACTCGTCAGGTCCGAACGGCCATTCACTTTTGTGGCTATCTGGAGCGACCAAGCGTGTGTCCAGTTCAATTACGTTTGCCCACAAATATCCCGAGCGATACGAGTTCTCTGGACAGCAATAAATCAAAGGACGGCCGTACGGATTATAAACAACGTCATTTCTAGAGAAACTACTGGTAACCAATACAAAACATTTTACCTCCACGTAAGACCTGTTAGGCTCATACTGCTGAAAAGCATGATATATAATTGTAAGTTATATGAAAAAAATAAAAAGTATTAGATAGTACTATTAAGTAAAGTCTCCATAAATAAAAATGGAATATTATTTTATTATATTGAAAATTGTTGATGATACTCCTGACATGCTAATTACATACATATTTTGCAAAATGAAACATTTCTTTCACCCATTACTGAAAACATCAAGAAATTGTTGAGTTTATATTGTTTAATTTGGTACATATGCCTATTTCGGTCTTACACACAAGTTTTTATTATCCTACTACTGCTACTCAGTGAGATTTTTTGTAGTAAAGAGGAAAAATTGCCTCAACGACAGTGGTTTAGATTATACTTCAAAGCATTTGTTTTGATTTCTCTCTAATACGTTTTTTACATAAAGTTCGAAGAGTCCGCCAACGTCCCGCCAACGTCCCGCCAACGTCCCGCCAACGTCCCGCCAACGTCCCGCCAACGTCCCGCCCCGTCCCGGATATATCGACATGAAATATACATTCATTATGAACACTAGCCACGTGACCAACTTAGCTGTTCCTAACGGTGCAGAAATTACTATAATACTCTTGCCTGACAAATTCTTCGTAAAAAGAGAAAGTTATGTAATCGTGTGTCGGAAACGCCGGAATAAACCTCATTGCCGGGTTCTGGCTATGTAAAAGTTGATAAACCCTGTTGCTAAATTTAGAAAAAAATCCCCAACTCGTGGTGTGGCCAGAATCCATGTTTTGTTGGTTCTTCATACCGAAAAATCGATTGACGGTAAAATGTCCGTCAGTCCGTTTGTCTGTCTGTCCGTCTGTGGGTAACACTAGCGTCTAAAGCGTTGAGCTAATTTTCTTCAAAATTGATATACACTGATTAATATTAACGGACTGAAGGGTTTGGAAGTTTCTAACGGATATTTTGATTATTGAAAGTTTTTTTATCTAATAAAGCATCTAAGAAAGTTAAATTAAGTTAATTATGGTAAATTAAGTTCGGTTGTATTAGGACTGAGCACGGAATGAGACGTTAAAACCCAGAACATCTTTTATTTCTCAATGCATAATCACTTCAGATTATAATCCAACATAATATAATGATATCGCAATGGTACAATAGGAAAAAATTAAGTCAGATCAGACGCATAGCAAACCAGAGGAAGTTCAAAAAGTGACTCCAGTTAAATGGTAGTCCAATTGGATAAAATGTATGCAATAAAAATAAAACATATGTCATTTTTCTGCATAAATTACTTCCATCTGGTACGTCACTTTTCCGCACCGAAGATTTAAAAAATGACCTTGTAAAACAGGCTTAAAGGTCAGGGAACAGGAGGAATACACGAGCGCACACGTCCCTAAATTGGTCTCCGCTATTGCCAAAAATCCGCCACCACCGTTACTCGTACCTCGGAACTCCAGGTCACAAGAGCTGCAGAGGCAGCGTCAATGCTGACTCCGAGCTCAGATTTCAACGTTTCATCATCGGAGTAACGGAGACTCGTGGAAAGGGCTTTGTGGAGATTCGCATTTTGTCACCGTTTGCGTATCACTGGAACATCGCTAAAAACTTGTAGCAATGCGCAGCATATCGAAACATTTCTTCCGCTGTGTGTTATTATTCTACAACAACTCATGCTTTTAAAAAATATGTGCACAACATTATTTAAAGATACAAAAGTGAAGGATAAATTGTAATGAGAAAGAAATTCATATGCATGGTGTGAGAAAGGTTCGAAAAATAATTGCACTTTCGCAATTTTCAAAATTTCATGTTTTAATAAAAATTGTAAGTATATCATATTTATAAATGCGGTTTCTTCTGTTCAAGTAAAAAAATGGAACAAGCACTGAGAAAACGTTACAAATATGAAAGGGGGCTTATTTAATGTAGCACAAAAAAAGCTCGTATTGATGTTTCGCAACGGCGCTATTAGATTTCACTCCTGACATTTTTTCAAAGTTTCAGCTCAAAAGATTCTAATTTGAAAGTTACGCGTAACATACCCATCGATAAGTGAGTTCAGCATCAAACACGCTATCCCGGCATTCCGTACAAAATTAGTGTATCTCCTCCCTACCAGATCCAATCTTAACCATCTTTGAAGAGAGATCTATCCCGGCTCAGGACATGTCCGACTTGAGGGTCGGCGGCGTATCTCACTATCCACCAGAGCCGCTCATTTACAATGCTATATAGTCAGGCGAGAAAGTAAAATATAACTTCTATGGATTTAGGGAGCTGATACTCTGGTTTTAAGGCCGTAAGCTGCGTCTTTTCTGGGTTCAGCGCGATGGTAATGCATGTTGCAGAGTAATGTGTGATGCGGTTGGCACAGGCGCCTGGTTGTTCAAATATGCTATATCCACCAAACCTTATGTTGGCTAATTCATTATCCAATAGTAGAATACTTATGTAATTTTGTGTCAAGTGTTTCTTATATGTTGTATTCATTTATGCATTATATACAGAAGGAATAATTATGTATTGCAGTTTACTCTAAGTTCGAGAAAAATATTTACATCGTTAACGCCCACCACGTCGATTTTTGTGTCAATTTACTCCTCGTAGAAAATATGTAGATTATTCGACCATCAAAGTGTATTGAACGGTTCAAAAGGTAGGAGGGCGGTATGAACACTCAAAGTTCCCAATGACATAAGCCTTCTGACAGGCGGGGGAAAATGAAAGGGATTTAAACACGTTTAATGTACTGTGGAAATCGAATGCGAATGTCAAATATTTATTGCGTTGTGATCTGGTGTGTCAAAACCTTTTCACCTACGCCTGTTTAAAATGAAAAACTATTGCGGGAATATCATTATATTTGACTATCAAAATGAATTACGAGTCGACGTTGATACCAATACCCACCAAAACGATGCAAATCCATCAATAGATGGAACTGACGTTCACTTTATTACATTGAATTTTTGCCGTACATTTGGTACAAAAACTCTCTATTTGTGGATCATTATGCGTTAGGTATTTATTTGGAAACGTTTGTCTGGAAGAATCTGGTTTAGCCGCTCTACATCCGAATTCTGTTCCAATTATGAGTTTCTCGAGAGTTACCATACACACAAGGCCCCCCAAACTACTTAAAGAACAAGAATTACGTTGGGCTTAAAGTAATATTTTCGGATACTTATCTATTACGATTAAAAACGGCTTTACAAAGAGATGACTCTGTTCTTCTCCTAAGGGTTGCTTTCTTCAGATCGTTGCAATTGATGCAACGTTGTTCACCTGAATAGTCAAACTTGTGATGCCGAAACTGAAAAAATAGCCTTATAATGTAACGCCAACTAAAATGAAAAACGTAAAC